TCGCTTCCGCCTCTCGTTCGCACCGCTGTGGCGGCAGCCGAGCGGCACGGCCCCGTGGCTCCCGCTGGCCATGCCCCCTCAGTCTGTCGCCATCTTCCGCTGTGCGGAGAACACCTTGAGAGCCCGTGTGCAAGTGTGTTTAGGGGGGAGCAGGGCGGAGAAAGAGGCACGGAGAGGAGGAGGGAGCGGGACTGGTGCCCCGACTGCGCCTGCGCCTCAGGACTCCCCCCACCCCACCCCGCCCCAGCCCCCGCCGGCCGCAGCCGGTGCTGTTTGGGGATGTTTCCAGTCCACCCCCAACTCCATTCACTTCAGCGCCTCCGTTCATCCGCCCGCTGCCCGCGTGCACACGCCACACGCTGAGTCCCAGGCCCCGGCGCTTCCCCTCCCCCACTAACCCGGGCGCCCGCCTTCCTCCCCAAGGCCGTCCCTCACTCCCCCGAGGGCTAGGGGACTTCTGAGGGTGATTCTTGGAGGCAGGGGGCAGGAGGCATCTCGTAGCTGCTTGCTGCCTCCCTGGGTCGCCTCCGCCGTCCCCGTGACTGGAAGACGCTCGAGCCGGCTGCGGATCGGACCAGTCCAGTGTCCCTAACTCCACCGTCGCCCTCACCGTCCTGCCCGAGGACAAGGCGGCCCTTGGTGCTGAAGGACAGCTCCCAGCTTAGCTGCTGAGGAGGACTGAGTTTGGAGAGCGTCCCGGAGGGGGCAAGGCAGTGGGCTGAGATAGTAGTGGTGGGGTGTCGGTGTTTGCCCTTAGGAATATTTCCAGCAGCCTCCACCCCCTACTCGCTCCCCCCACGCCAGCATCAGCCCCCGTCCTAGCTTTTTGGCTCCCCCTACAGGCTGCTGAGAATAGCTGACGGAGAGTTAGGGAAGCTGCGCCGCCCGGATGGAACCATGTGCTTGGGGCCCTCACAGAGTCACATGGCACTAGGAACTCAGACGTACAAACGTCCTGCCGCGCCACTAACCTTGTTTGGACTCCATTGGCTCTGTGGTCGGCTTGCTTTCCTCCCTCCCTTTCACTCCCAGTAACTCTCACATTGTAATTTTTTGTCAACCGTTGCCGGCAAGCTTTTGTTAATATTAAGAATAATAACAATAAAGAAAATAGCCTTAATTGAGCGTGTACTATGTGCTATGTACTGCTCTATACATTTTGCATGCATTCGTCATCCAGTCTTCACAACAGTGTTGTGAGATAGGTACTACTGTTATCTTCATTTGCATACAAAGAAGCTGAGGTTTACTGTGGTTGTTGCCTAAAGTAACCGGAGCAGCTAAGAAAGAAACTCAGTCTGACTCTAGAATTCTCTTAACACTCCAGTAAGGCCCTGGAAAGATGAAAGAGCCAAGGCATTCCTTCCTTAAAGGAAATTATAGTCTATATAAGGAAGCAAGACATGTATATTGGCTAGTGGGAGGATTCATGAACTAGAGCCTTGGATAATAACTCAACTGCTGAAATGCCGTGTGCCCTTGAGAGTCTTTTCCTTTTCTGTGTCTTGGTTTTCCCCTGAGTAACACGAAGGGATGCCAAGGGTTAAATGAAATGGGTGGGCATCGTTAGCACTACTCAGAGGTGGGCTGGGGTGGGTACATAAAAGGTTTCTGAAAGAGGGACAATTGAAGCTAGTTTCTAAAGTAGCAGGATTTGGATGGGTGGTTGAGAAGGGCATTCCAAATAAAAGGAATGCAGATGAAAAGTTTCAGGGGTAGGGAGCAGCTTTGTATGTTTGTGAAACCACAAGTGTGGCAGTTTGGCTACATTGATGGTGAGAATTTGTGGGGAAGGGAGTAGCAGGAAATGAGACAAGGGACAAAACTCGCAGGCATTTGGGAGGCCTATTTCTTCATTATGTTTCAAGCACTGTGCTGGGGGCTAAGTGGGATACTGAGGGGAATCAGATGGCCCTGCCCTTGAGGTGCTCACAGTTGAATTAGAGAGGCAGGCATGTTAAAGAAGAAATTGCAACCTAGTGCAACAAGGATGGTAGGTGTCCCTCCCATAGAGGGAGGGACCAGTCAACTTTGCCAGATTCCCTCAGAGATGATTTTGCACACAACCGCTGGAGTTGAGTCATTCATTCATTGATTCGTTCCTCTGTCAAACATCTATTGAGGCTCTATTACATCCTAGATGCTGTATTAGGCATCAGCAGTATAGACATGAGTAAAATATGTGTCTTGAGCTGAAGGAGGTTAGGTGAAACCTTAAGGGATGAGTAAGGACTGGCTAGACAGGTAGCAAAGAAGGTGGTGTGTGAAGGATGTCCCAGGCAGTGGGAATGTTATGTGTAAAGGACCAGAAGTAACGCCAGGAATGGTATGTTCAGAAACGTGCAAAGTAGTTTATCATGACTAGGTGTGAAGTGGGAGCACTGCCAAAATGAGGCTGAGGATTTGGCAGGAGCCAAATCATGAAGGGCCCTGGGTGCCATGCTAAGTAGTTTGGACTTTATCCCAAGGGCACTAGAAGCCATGGAAGAGGCTGGAAGGTTTTCAGCAGGAGGTGACACGATCAGACTTGTATTTTTAGAAGATGGATTTGACTGCAGCATGGAGACTGGATTGGAGGGAGTGAGACGGCAGGCGGGGAGACTAGTTGGGAGACTGGTTAGTAGTCAGGTGAGAGGTGTTGAGGGCTGAACAAAGACAGCAGCAGTGGAGACAGAGAAAAGAAATACACATGGGAGGGAAATGAAAGAAGTAGAATTGAAAGAAGCTAGGAGGCAGGGCCAAAAGGAGGATGAAATAGAAGAGTTCCAGTTAGTGACACTGGCACGACTGCCCCTGCCCACCTAGGAACTGTCTTTCCTAAGCCATTCTTTGTTTAGTCCTTGGAGGGTTCAGTGTTCTGTTTAACAAAGAAAGCTAATCGCTTACAGATACCTAGTTCGGAGCTGATTGGCAGGGCCACAGTGATTGACACCCTTGAATGCCAATGAAAGAGCAGCCTGCCAGGTCTAGGCTATCAGCTCTGAGCACCTCTGGAGCTTTCTGTGAGAAATCACTCAGGCAAGACTCCCTCCCTCTCCCCAAGCACACACAGGGCGAAAAGTATCTCACAACGGTCCATTTATCACAGAAGCACAATATAACAATAACTTACCCACACAGTACCCGCTGCACACAAAGAAGAAGTGCTAGCACACCAACAGTCAGAAGAGGCTCTCATTCTCTCACTCCAGATGACCCAAGAAATTGGGATGGGGGAAGGGAAGGCATTGGCCTTAATCGTCCCCTGGAGCAGAATAGCCAAGGTGGGGAGGGGGACTGGAGTGGCTTACTGCTCCCCAAGAGCTGGTGGGCCCTGGCCAGTCCTTCTTCTCAGCTCTTTCTTTCCACCTGCTCCCGGGTTAGTGGAGGCTAAAACCAGGGGATGGAGGCGGGTCACTCCTGAGGGGGCCCAGACTGCACAAGAAGAGCAATAGAGTGCCCTCAAACCAGGCAGAGGGGAAGACAACTTGAAGGAGAGGGAGAAGAGGAAGGTTTCTTGCAGTGAAATGCTGACAATTAGGAAGAAGACAAAGTGGGAGCTGTTTAAAGCGACCAATGTGGTTGCATCAGGAGCTTTCTGTTAAGCTCAGATCTTAAAAGGTCATGGGAAAAAGAGGTGGAAAGAAGGGCATGTAATTAAGGGTGAATCTGTAAGAAGAGTGTCAGGATGGCTAAAGCGCAGCTTGAGATGATGCTTGTCAGGCTCTGCCTGGATCCTCCCTTCATAGTTGGAGTAATTTCTCTCCTATTTGCAGGCTATCCCTGTCCTAAGACAGGAAGGATTGAAGT